TATTTTAATGAAAAAGTTTTTTATAGTTTTACATATATTTAAAAATATATATTATATTTAGATTGAATATTTAATAGCACAATTTATTGGCACATTTCCATTTTTTTCTGAGAGAAAAGATGAAATAATACAGAAAATGTTGCACGCAGGATTCGAACTTGCTTTGCCCATATGCACTAATCACTAGGCCATGACTCCAGCATGCTTTTTAAATATATTTTTGTTATTTTAATTATGTTAGCACATAAGAAAAGTTTACATTATTCACATTATTAATTCACATTAATTACATTAAATTACACAATATGTATATATGTAAATATATATTTAATGTAAATATAACGTAAATATATAATGTAAATATATAATGTAAATATATTTCTATGTAAATGTTCTTAATAAATACAATTATTTTATTAACAATTTTTAAAATAAAAATATTTTGCATAAAGCCAGAAGACTTTTATTCTTATATTTATATTTAATAGCTCTTTGTGCCACTTTACAACTTTTGGCTGGAAAAGGGGCCATTACTCCGGCATGCTTTTTAATTCATTTTTGATAGTTCTTTTTTTTTTCTTTGCATTTTTATTAATATATGTGTATCAAAAGTTTGTTTTTCTATTAAAAAAGAGGCTGGATATATAAAGAATATACTGTACATCGTAGGTATCAAACTGAATGGATCAAACTGTATGTTATTTTTCTAATTATTACTAAAATACACAGCATTAGGATCCTGTATTGTTTTTATGATGTTTTTTTTTTTATTAAATTTTATTATGCATTTTGATTAAATTGCGTTAAATTTCAAGTGCTTATTTTTAATTACAAGGTTGTATAGTTTCAGGAATGCATAAAGCCAGAAAACTTCATATTTATGATTATAATAGCTCACTTTGTTGGCATTATTCCACTTTTGTCTGTGAGAAAAGAAAAATACAGGAAATGTCGTAAGCTGGACTCGAACACGCTTTCACTATTTGCATATATGCCTATATGTTCATGTTTCCCATCTTTACTTATATCAATAATTGCGTATCAATATTGAGTTTTTCTATTAAAACAAGGCTTAAATAAAAGAACACAACTCTATCATAACATCACATATCCATTTTCACACTGTAACATACATGATCTGAGGGCCTGTGTAGACTTTCCTTATTTAATTGAAATAAAAGAGTGATGTCTATTAATCCCCCAAACAATTGATTTAATCCAACTTCTCATAGATCGTCTGTTAGAGATCAACGCCAAAGGATCTGTGTGAGCTTATCTAGGATAATATATTACTTAGCAAAATGTCTTCGACCATCTGCACTGAAAAAAAAAACTAAAAACCACACTCTCTCCTGCAAACAAGAGAAAGACCCAACATTACCATGAGCGAAAGCAGAAATCAAATGCACGGCCACATGTTTTACAAAAAGCCTTATAATTGTCATAGAGAAGGAAGCTATGATTGTATTCCTCCCAACTCTTTTTGATGTGATTACACAAATTCTCCTTTGTGTACATTAAAGCTTTAGGGCCAGTGTGGGTAAAAGAAAAAAAAGCTCCCACTCTCTTGTTGTTGTGCCACCAGAGGAAACACAGTTCTCTGTGCCAAAAAGTGTCTTTTGATGTTACTCCTCTTTTTCATACACAAATCACAGTTGTTTCAGAATGACCACATTAAATACCTTTTTCTGAGTGGTCTAATTTGATTACCTTTGTGGATGATGCCAGGGGCCGGCTGGGGGGCAGGGCCTCGCCGTTGTCTCGGCAACGGGTGGAGAGGTTGAGGATGGCTGCGGATGCGATGTTGGACTGGAGGGCGTTGCTTTGGGCTTTATGGCGACTGGGGCTGTTGTCTCCGGTCATGATCATACGACCACCAGAAGCCAGAAAACAGGGGAACTGAGCGGCTGGAAACGGTGGGAATAGATAGAATTGAGAGAGAGACGGAGAGATCGTAACTGATCATATTATGCAGAGAGGATATTTATATATATATATATATATATAAATATGGGGGGGTTGACAGAAAAGACTTTAAATTTTTCTAAAGAAAATGTGAATGGTGTTTTCACATGCAAATGAAGCTAGGGTGTTGCTATGCAATTGCCAAGATGTTCTGAGTGTTTTCAGCGTTGTTATGTGGTTGCTAGGGCGTTCTAGGTGGTTGATTATTGGCCCAAATCAGGGTGCTTGATAAAGACTGAAGAGAGCAGATTGTATGGCACAAACAAATGACTGTACATGTACATGCACTAAGTCACACATGATGACACTGACAACAACTTATTTTTATAAACAGTAATGCCAGTGCATGCTGGGTAACCTTTGATTTGAAACAGAATAGACACTCACAGTCAGGAAAGTGTGAAGATTCGTGACTCTGGTCGGATGCCATCTGAGCCTGCTTGCCAAAGACCTGGGCATCAAAACTGGCGTAGTCAAAAAAGTGTCTTTTGATGTTACTCCTCTTTTTCATACACAAATCACAGTTGTTTCAGAATGACCACATTAAATACCTTTTTCTGAGTGGTCTAATTTGATTACCTTTGTGGATGATGCCAGGGGCCGGCTGGGGGGCAGGGCCTCGCCGTTGTCTCGGCAACGGGTGGAGAGGTTGAGGATGGCTGCGGATGCGATGTTGGACTGGAGGGCGTTGCTTTGGGCTTTATGGCGACTGGGGCTGTTGTCTCCGGTCATGATCATACGACCACCAGAAGCCAGAAAACAGGGGAACTGAGCGGCTGGAAACGGTGGGAATAGATAGAATTGAGAGAGAGACGGAGAGATCGTAACTGATCATATTATGCAGAGAGGAACTACAAACTCACATCTATGTAGAAGGCAGGTTTAAAAAGTATTATACTGACTGTATTATTAATAAGCAATATTATTACACATTTGTATTTATCATTCAGTTACACACACACAAACACACATATATATATATATGTTATTATTCAATTTATCTACAAATGGCTTACTACACTGTATTTTAACAATTAGTTATACAAAAAGATCAATTTAAATCTGTCTTGCGCTCACTCGCTCTCTCTCTCTATAAATAAAATCATTATTAATATTATTTATATACATTACCATTTTTATTATAGATTTTATAGATTAATTGATCATATACATGTATAATTTGAATAATGTATAAGTAAATATGAATAATAAATTAATTATTATGTATTTCATACATTATGTAATTAAATTCATAAGAAAATGTAACATTATATATATACTATAACATTACATATATATTATATAGTATGTGACCTGGGCGTCAAAACTGGCGTAGTCAAAATGGCCTTTAGTGTACTTGTCCATGTCTTTGGCCATGCTGGCCTGCAACGCTGCCATAGGATGTGCAAATCTGTACGTGAAGTCAAATTTCTTCATGTTTCCTAAAGGTCTAAAGAGAGAAAAAGAAAACACTGGGACTTCAGAATTACACTAATGTTTTGAAAACATGTTTGTGTTGCTGCTTATTCTTTATCATAAGAAATCACACACTTTAATAAATCATTCCCCAACATATTAGATTTAATTATATCATTTAAAGCTCCGAAAGAATGAACAGGTGAGATTGCCTATTATTATCTTTCAGAAAGAATACTTGTGAACTTATTTTCAGCTTGCTTGATTGTAAAGGAATATATAAAGTATAAGAGCTGCTCCTGGATGAAGGTTTCTTACCTCGTCATCCTCTCTGCCGTCTGTCTGCAATTTGCGGGATCCTCCTGCGGTTTGGAGATCTTCTCTGCAGCAGCTATCGGGCAGCCTGAGAGACTGTGTGAAAACAGACATCAGAAGTTAGTCTCTTCTGGGTTGTTAACTTTATCTGAATTGAATTCGGGTGCACTGAAGTAATTGTACAATTAAAAAGAATCCAATAGCTTCTATGCAATAAACATCTCAGTGTTTTATAGTCTAGTTTAAGTGTCACTGGATTTTTCCTGATAGAGCGAAACTTCATGATTCTTTTTAAATAAATATCCAGGTTTCATTGCAAGCGCATCTCTTTTTGGGGTAAATTAATGTTTCTGATGCTTTAAGGTGGTTTAAGTCAGTGGAACCGTGCAAAATAGAGTAACACTGCATTTTCTTTGGGTCAAATTCTGGATGTAGTCAAGTGGTAATGTTATTATAAACCACTCATTTCATCCCCCCCCGCGAATACATATCTATGCAAATCTGCTTACAGTGAGCAAGAAGGATTGCAAAGAAATTAATAGTGTAATTGGAGTATAACTGAATGCTGAGTAAAACCTGTTGTTACCTGAAATAAAATAAACTTTAACTGAAATAAAATATTTTTAAAAATTACTATATAGTTAAAAAAAAAAAAAAATCAGCCAGTTCAGCCAAGGCAACATTTCTCATTTTCATTTAGTGCAACTTAATGTACTAAAAATAAAAATAATAAATTAATAAATACACATATAAATAAATAAAGACATATAAAAAAATAAATAAATAAAAAGACAAAAACACAACAAAATCACCAAAGCTTTAAATAAAAATTTTAAAAGTAAATATAAAAATAAATACTAATTCACAGTATTAATAAAAACTCTCACTGTATCTTAAAGATACTAAAACATCACTTGTATAATCAAGCTGTTTTCACTGTGCTGACCTTCTATGCGTGCTACGGTTACTGTTGACATGACCTCTTCCTGTACAGCCAGGGGTCGGACACTTGAGGACGTTTTCGTGCATGGCGAGGACTGTAAGAAACAACAGAATCATGTTTATCAAGAGAACAATTGTATAGTAAGAATGGACATTTTATTGAAGAAACAGTAATTCAGCATTTAGTGGAATTCAACTTTTCATGCTAAATAAAGTTTCCCATGCCATTCTCTGCAACTTAAAATTAGGGTCTCGCTTCAAATATGGACATGCAAAAACATCATGACTACAAACACATTTTGATTACCATTTAAGAGACACACACATATTGTCGAAGTCCTATCCTTAGTAACTTTTTTTAGTCTGTTCATAATTAGTTTGGAGGATGAGCCTGTCTATTTAGGCTGCATCCGCAGGTCCTTTGATTCGCAGAATGCTGCCTCTGGTTTAGGAGTACATGCTTTCATATTGGAGGGAAAAAAAGGAAAAAAACTTAATTACATTTTCTGTTCCTTTTGTCACATCACTGTTTAATGGTGAATGTTTGTTGTGCTACTCTCAAATGGAGAAAACAGCAAGTGAAAAGTTGTTTCCAGAATGCATTTTTAATTTGCCTACAGCAGGAAATCAAACCTCACTTGTGTTGATGACTAAAAAGTTTCTTTGGGAAAAAAATTTAAAAAAAAGTTTTTTTTGTTTTTTCAGCTTGGTGCAACATTAAGTGGTTTCTACTGGAAGGCTCAAGATAAGAGGTAAATAGATAATTAACATGCAAATTACATTGAAATCTTGAAAAATGACACTTCAAATTGTGTTTAGTCTATGTTTATCATATATATATTTTTTAAAATATTTATCACATCTCCTGTAATAAACAATGGTAATTTTTCACTTTTTGGAGGAAAATTTAGCAATTAGCTTTGAACTTACAAAAATAAAAAGAGATGGATTGCTTCTGAATTAAAATGCTCAAATAGTGACAAGTTTAGTAATAAAAAAAGTGACCAGTGACCAGTTTGGTAATAAAGATAATTTCATATAATAATGTAAAAAATGTCTAAATTAATAACATCATAACCATAAATAAACTTCTTTGGGAAAACCTTTTTTTTTTTAACTAATTATTTTCTTTAAAATATATGTGTAAAAAATGATAATAATTACTAATTGCATTTATTAATACCAAATAAATATGATGTATTTTAAGTAAGGTGTAATTTTCCTGAATTTTTTACCTTTTTTATAAATGTATTGTTACATTAAAATATAAAGTCTGGCTCAAATTCTGCGTAATTTGGAGTAATACTGAAACATTTTTGTTTATGTTAATATAAAAAAAAAAAAGTTTTTTTTTTTGGCAAATGTAGCACTTCATCACTCTTAAAATTTAGGAAAAAAATTAGAATAAAAATTGAATTTAAAAATAAAGTTAAAGCTTAAATAATACATCCTAGAATATATATTTAAAAATGTTCTATAAAAGGGAAGAATCTTACATTTTCTATCACAGAAAAAAATAACTATTAGATATTTTTGTAGCATACATTTAAACTGATACACTTCATGTTATGTCTCGTTGCAGAAATGTTCTGAACATAATAGAGCCTGGTTAGTTAAGCAATCACCATATAATCTTTTGTCCCTCAGTATCTGTACAACTAAACCTTGATCATTAGTATGGCATGAATATTTATGGGCTGAAAATGATCACAGTGTTGTAATCACTAATTGTATTTGTTCTGTTTGTATTGTGCTGCTGTGAAGGGAGGAAATGTGTCTAATGTCCTCAGGAAGTGATGCGTAACATGAGAACAGACTCACTCTCTGGGGGCACTCTGACTTTGTGGGGACATCCTGATAGACTCCGGTGATGAGGGTAGAGGCCTGTCACATGACCCGTCCCATCACAGCCCGGGGTCGGACATTTGATGTCTTTCTTTTCTGTCTGAAGGGAATCTATAACACACACACACACACAAACAGTAAAACAGTGCTCTTGAAGAACATATAGTTACAGTTAATCCCATCCAGTCTGGTTTCTCTATGTAAGCTGAAGCGCATCCTGTGAAAGCATGTTGGGTGTGTATGTATTCATCCGTGACATTAGTTAAGGCTGCAGTCTTAACTCAGGGCACTGGTTTCTTAGCGCTGATCCATAGAGAGATTATCTTCAGAGATTACCCATTAAACAGCAGTCATCGCAAGAATCAGAGTGCTTACAGCTCACATCAGAGATACTTTACTAGGATTTATGACTTAATTTATGCTCATGGTAAAATATCTGGCTGATACAGATAAAAATCCAGCGTTTCGTGTTACAGAGATGTCATCAGAAGATTGCATAAAACATGTTGGTTATTTACCATTAAATATTTTGTTGGCAAAATGTTTTTAGCACTTAAGAGGATTTTATTTATCTATCCCTCTGGGCTAGAATCTCTCTATGTCTCTTTCTTTTTATGTGTTGATACTGCAACATTCCAGTCTTATTGCGAAAATGCATATAATATAAAACACACCACCAACACATAAATCTAAAGAAGTTTTTACAGACCAAATACAACAAGAAATGGTACCACTTTACAATGAGATCCTATTTGTTAATGCATTACCTAACAATGAGCTACACATTTGTTGCAGTGTTTATTACACTTTGTTAATGTTAATTAATAAAAATACTGTTCATTGTTAGTTTATGTTAGCATTACTAATGTAGTTAGCTAATGTTAACAAATGGAACCTTATTGTAAAGTGTTGTCAAAGAAATACGACAGAGTAGTTTCTTTTGGAGTGAATGAATATGAATTTACGATTAATAGTGTAAATGACATTACTTAACAAGCAACAAGAAATTACATATTTTTCCTTAGTGAATTAGTGAAACACTGCATCGCCAATGTGGACGAAATATCGCGCAATATACTTAAAGCCTACTATACAGCACCAAAAGACTGCTACTACTAAACATACAGCGCAACTATTTTTTTTCAGAAATATAGGCTATACAGCGTGACTAGTTCAGTCCTACCACCGAATTAATCTTAGCCAGTTATTTTTAGCGAATCCAAAACATATACAGTGCAACTAGTGACATCTGACTGCCAAATGAGCCAGTTCTTTTTAGCTAATAAGAAGCATATACCGCACAACCAGTAACGTCCGACTGAATCACTCTCGAGTGTATACTTCACTTTTTACGTGTACGCGAGGGACACGTACTGTTACTACTGTACGCGCACTATGCAATTTTTGTAACCACGCATACTTTGTACACGCAGGTCACACTTGCGCATTGAATTTGTTTTGTAGTATACAGTTGTTCCACAAGGTGGAAACACTGGCCCAGGCCGTTGTTTCAAAGTAGAAAGAGACTGCAACAACAATAGATGGCTGCATTTACAAGCCAAGCGAGAGGGTAGGGATAGCCCAGCTTTTGGTTTAAAAGAGTTCATAAATATTTGTTATTAGTCATAATTTATGGAGAAAATAAAGCAGACAACTGGACATGAATGAAGCTTTCAAGAGCGCATGTGTCGACCGCTTGTGTCAAATGGAGTACACTTTGAAAGGCTATGCGTTCGAATGTACGCTAGCATATGCGTACAAAAAGTAAGTATACTTTGGGCTTAATGAGCCATTTACAAGTGAATCAGAAACACGTACAGAGCAACAAGTCTGACCGCTGAATAAATAACTCTGAGTCGGTTCTTTTTAACGAATCAGAAACATACAGCGCGACCAGTGTAGTTCAATTCCAGAATGAATGACTCTAATGAGCCGGTTCTTTTTAGTGAATCAAACACAAACATACTACGCCCAGCGTAGTCCAACTCCTGTCCTTTTAGTGAATCAAATGCATACAGTACAACCACTGTAGTGCGATTCGCAAACAAACGACTCTAGTTCATTTCAATGAATCAAACACTTACTGTGCGACCAGCGTTGTCCGACTTCTGATCAAATGAGTCTGTTCATTTTAGTGAATCTAAAGCATGCAGTGCAACCACTGTAGTGCGATTCGCAAACAAATGACTAGTTCTTTTTAGTGAATCAAACACATAGAACTAACTGTGAGTTACTGATTGGTTGATCATATGATAACATGTATTTAAAGATACCTAAATGAAGTTAATGAATGAAATACATTACCAAATTTTCTTTCTTTGTTTAGCATTGTTGGACTGTTATTGGATTGCCTTCATTAGACTTTATTTATGCCTCTTTAAAGTCTAATTAAAGGGGTCATATGATGCTTTTTTTAAAGATCATTATTTTGTGTATTTGGTGTAACAGAATATGTTGACATGCTTTAATGTTCAAAAAACACATTATTTTTCAAATACTGTACATTATTGTAGGTCCTCTATGCCCCGCCTCTCTCAAACGCTTCGTTTTCTACAAAGTCCCTCCTTCCGACAAGCGCAGTCTGCTCTGATTGGCCAGCTGACCCAGTGCATTGTGATTGGCCGAACACCGCAAGCACTCGTCGGAAATGTAACGCCCCTTACCATAATCGCGAGCTTCATCTTTCAAAATAAATGTAAAGACAGTAAATAATGTCATTAGTTTTACCATCAGTTCAAGCCTGAAAGGGGAACAGAGTCGCGTGACAGACACAGTGATGAAGCTGGTATGTGTTTGCAGTACACAAGCCACGGTTAAGACAGCTGACTCTACTGTGATGTGACGCTGTCTCTCTCTCTCTCTCACACACGCACACACACACGATGTGCAAAACTCTGCATTTGAACAGTCAATAGCAAATACTTAAACTAATAACTAAACAGTAGCTGATTCAGAAGCGCCAGATTGTCATAGCAAAGGCAGAATGACCTCTTCTCCTAGGTTCACGAAACGGTCGTCCATAAAATGCATTGCTGTTCTGTTGTAAGTAATCTTAAAGATTCCTAAATGCATCTACTTTCGGAAGGCTAAATAAAGTGCTTTTGCTTTCGCCTAGAAACACACAGCGTCTCCTTGACATGGCTGCTTCAACACTAACTGCTGTTCCTGAAACCACGCCTTCTTTCTTTGCGTGATCATTTGGGCGCATTATGCAAATATTTCCACATGGTGATGTAGATATGTGGGGGCGTGTTAGAATGAGCCGTTTTAGGGGGGCGTGGCAGAGTCTTAACTTTGATAAAGAATATCTCTTTGGTTTTGAGACTTTAGTCTTTGCAACTTCAGGGATCTTATCTATGCACAATCAGCTTGTAACACTCCAAAGAGAAAGGAAAACTTGAAATCGCATCATATGACCCCTTTAAAAGTCTATTCAAACACATCTTTTGCAAGAATTGTTTTAAAAGTATTTATTATTGGAATCATTCCATCATTTGCTAATTGTATTTCTTTATTCCAAATATTCATTCCCTTAGTACTAAAAGAATTGTAAATGAAACCATTGAGGAACTAGAATTTTTTGCAGAATTCAAACTATTAAAAATCAGTGAAAATGTGATGAAGCTCTGGTGAATCTCACCTTTGCTGCTGTGGTACATGGCTCGAGCGTCTATCTCCAGCATCCTCTGCTGTCTCCGTTCGTGGTTCATCTGCTCCAGGAGGAAGCGGTCCATGTCTTTGTAGGCACTGTGGAGGACCTGTCTATGTTCAGACTGCAGCACCATGGCCTGCTCTAGAAGACTGAGGTTCAGTCGGGCCCTGTCCAGCTCCAGACGTCTGGCCACCAGACCTGGACCCCAAACATCTCCTCGCTCCTCCATCCTGGGCGTCTGGAGCTCCTCCTCACTGTCGCTGAACTCTCTTGCAGAGCCATACTCCTCCATAAAGGTCCCTGCACTGTTTCTGTTCATGTAAGCAGAAAGAGCGTCTTCGTGCAGCTGCTGTCCAATCCGGAGTCTCTTCATAAGAGCATCGTCTGCAGGTGGACTGGGGCTGTGATGGATCCCGTTGACCTTCGTTAGGGACGGAGGAGCGCTCCATTCTTCTTCATCTGCCTCTGTGTCTGGAGACAGGTGATAACTGGCTCTGATCTCTTCTTGGTTTTTGTCTTCAAAGTCCTGGCTGTGTTCCTCCTCCTCCTCTTGCTCATTCTGGTGTTCGGATATCTGAGCCGCCAGGTCTGGCGAACCTTCACTCGTTCGTTCTGACCATGACAACAAGTGGTGAGACTTTGCGTTGTGATAGATAGTGTCTTCCAGAACATCACCACCATTGAGGTCCTCATCTGAGACACAGAAGAACGGACAGAGCTTAAATTGATGGATCATCTGCAAGAGCTCATTACATGATTGTGTGTTTGGAGGGAAAATACTAACAGATGGTTTCCCAAGCCTTCAGAATCACAAGTTGTGACAAACATGACAACTTGAGGGAAGTGAAGGGAAACACTAAATATTAAAAACCCTAAAAAAGTAAATCATTCATCACATTTCAAATGGTCAAATGAAAAACACATACAATTAATACAATTATTAAAATAATTTAAAAATGATATAAATGGGAAAATAAAAAATGAAAAATTATGTCAAATAAACATAAAAAAAATGTGAAGGGAAGTACAAAATATGACAAACCTCAATAAATAAGTAGATAGAAAAAGCATTTCAAATGTCACTCTTTGGTCAAATGAAAAACAAATACAATTAATACAATTATTACATTTATTTAAAAAATATAAATGGGAAAATAAAAAATGAAAGATATTGTCAAGAAAACACTATGACTTAAAAAATTTAGATAGATAGATAGACAGACAGATAGGGAAAATAAAGCTTGACAAGAAAAAGCATTTCAAATGTGAGTCTTTGGTTAAATGAAAAACAAATAAAATTAATAAAATAATTTAATTTTAAAATGATCAAAATGGCAAAATGAGAAAACAAGAGATAAAACATTAAAAAAAACATCAAGAGAGTTTTACACGTATCCCAAGTGCATAAAAATATTTTTGTCAAAAACGCCATCTAGTTTCCATCCAAAGTTCAGATTACTAACTGAAATCTATACATAACTTGACCTTAAAAAATAAATAAATAACATATATAAAATGTATAAATATTTATAAATAAATAAATAAACATTTCCCCTTCTAATTTAATCTGCCATCTGTTCAATTTACGTAACAGCATTTTTTTTTTTTTTTATGTACAGAAAAAAATGTTTCCACATTCACAATGGATATAAGACTACATGATATAAAGCTGTAAACGCTAATCAGAAAGAAGCACGATTTGCTATACTACTGTACTACTTTTGATAAATCCGTAAAGCTTATTTGACTGGGGTTTATAGTGTGAATAATTCCTTTTTTGACAAATCTCAGACCTTTTATCCTTTAAAATCACCTTTAAACGACTCACTGGAATCGCAAAAGACCCGATTATATTAAGTAATCGAGTCAATGATTAACAAAAGAAACTATCAGCTGGATTGATTTACAATCCACTACTGATCTCTCTGAAACTTACCCGCCGGGGTTAAAGCTCTTTGGGCACCAGGGTTTAAAGTTCAAAATACAGCGTAAGCACAAGATACATCTATCCTCTTAGAGAGCCTTATGCCACCCTCCGAACCATATGCAACCACTGAGTTGATTAGATATTAAGAGCATTTTGGCTGCCGCCACATGTGGTTTCAGGGGCTTCTAATGGGATCATACTGCCTTAACAAACAGTTGCTAGTCTTAAAGAGCATATAAAGTAGTCCTGCTTTTAATCCCCCCAAAAACATCCCTAAATGGGGGATAGAGAGCTCAGTGGCATTTACAATCTCACCCGTCTCTTGCCAAAAATGGAAACCAGGCTTTGAGGGGTTAGAGTGTGCTTGCCGATGCGTTCATACCATGCCAAACTCCGGCATAATGTCGCAGAGGTCTACTTTGGCGCTGTACGAATGCGAAGGCATAATGCTAGCGCACAACCTAAATTTTGATTCTGTTTGTGCAGATAATTATAGTTTTTATGCATGATGCTTGAGGAAAGGGTGGATAATCTCATCTGTTTTATTTTTGGAATTGCATCCAATTGTATGCGTGTCGAATGTTACAGCACTGATTCTTGAGAGATGAAACGTGTCCCACACTTTTAAATCAACATTGATATTAATCAGAACGGATCACTAGAATGTTCTTTACACAAATTAGCCATTTCATCCGAGTTATATTTTCACTCACCAAGCCACTCTCAGTAAAAAATAACTGACATGCAAATATGTATCTTTAAAAATATATATATTCATTAACAAATACACATACACTGCAAAAAATAATTTTCTGACTCAAATATTTCAGTACAAATATTTTAACATTCATTAATCAAGATACATTTACTTGAGAAGTAAGATCAGGTTAGTCTTCATCCTGAATGTTTTATTTTTCTATATTTCTATTATAGGAACTCCAGAAAAACAAAACGACTACAAAACATCTGGGACTAAATGTGATCATTTTGTCAACAACCTCAGATTTTCCATGAGATGCTGCTGACATTATAAAAGATGGAGCTGAAAATCAGTTTGAAACCATCCTGTAGTCTCAATTTACTCTTAATCATAGTTGAATGCTCCATTTATTATAAATATCCAAAATGACAGTACTTATTATGTTTGTATCTGATGGTGTTGACCCATACAGAGCGATAGGAAAGGGAAAAAATCCTTTTTTTTTTTTTTTTAATATGCACCAAAACATAAACAAATTTAACTTTAATAATTTTAATTTCTGATCTCAAGAATCAGTAGCCCACCAATAATGCAAAAACAAGCAGGAACATGAAGCATCTGGACGCCCAAACCCAATAGATTCCACAACGAATGCACTTAAAAGCGTCCGATTTTCCTGATTTTCTCGCTTTTGTCAGCAGTTTGAGGTGTGAAAACCCAAAGCGGTCCAGCGCAGATGAAAAGTTCGCCAGTTATGCTAAGACACAATTAACAGAGCAGATGATTAGGAGTTCTCTGCCATCCAGATGGAGATACAGCCCTGACCAAAAAAATAAAAAATACAGAACAGTGAAAAAAAAAAGACTGGAGCGAACAAGGGCGAAAAATGCTTGGATGCAGAGAGTGGTTTGTATTTTGGAACAGGTGAATGGTTTATACTCCAGAATAACCATTACCATTGTGTGTATGGAGACCAGAAGCTTGGCTGGAGTCACACACACACACACACACATACATAACAGCACCAAATGGAAGCCTTACACCCCTTTAATTTCTCCCCTGCCTTTCCTTTTCCCTTTTTTTCCTCATGAAATTCACATACCCCTCTCGTCCCCCTGCAGATCCATTAATTTTGTTACGGTCCCAGTCGCCATTCACTCCCAGTCACACCCCGCGCATTATGTCTTTGAATTGTTTTCTTTTCCACCAGCACTTCTTCAGTAGTGCACTTTGGCAAAACGCAAAGCAAACATGTTGCAAGACAGCAGGGAAATATGACAAATGAGATTTTTTTCTATTGCAACTTCAGAAAATAATACTACAAAAAGAGGAGGGGGGGAAAAAAAAGGTTATGATTATTGTGGGTAATATGAAATCAGAGAAACAAATAAATTCCATTTCCAATGATGCTGTTCAATTTATTGAGCTATTTTGTTGTCCATTTAACAACCCACATGTGTCCAATAATGAGCCGCACACATTATGCCTAATTATGTATATTTGGGCTGCGTTCGATGGTCTAACAAAAGCTTTCGAAAGGGACAATTACGTTTGTTGCTTGGTTACATCGTTAAAAATATACCAAATAAGTGCAGATTATAGGGGTGTGGAGGTACACATGTAAAGCATGGGTATTGTTGCCAACATGCTCATAATTTGATTCATTAGGAGATGGCAGCATTTTGTTTCTAGAAAGGAGACTGCTTTAAAACGTAATATCGACTTTAACGTTTCCGTGCCTTCGTTGCCAAAAATGTTTTGTTGTTGGAGTGTATGATCACTCTCTTTTGTCAACGAGGCGCAATATAATTTGGTGCATTCTATTCTCAGTTACCCTATTTGCATAATTATGCAAGCAACCACACTTGCTTATAAAAAAAGCACTTTTCCAGGCTGCATAATCATCCCGGCGGCAGCTACTTTAACGCCACCGCCAGTTTTTAATCCGGGTTTCAAAGAAGTCGAGCGCAGGAAATCGCCTTAATCTGGACACCGGATGCATGAAACAACGAACGGGAATCGACTGTCGTGAACTTCCCCGGGATGGACGAAGAGACGGATGCGGGGAGGGAGGGGGGAGAGGAGGAGGAGGAGGAGGAGGAGGGAAACAAATATATGAATGCAACAGATGGTAGTTTAAAATTCAGCGTCAATTGTTCATCAAAACAGACAAAACAACAGGACATCTGTCTACCTGCTGGAGTGTCAGTGTTCCTGGGCACGTCTTTGTCCTGAGCGCTTGCCAGGTCTTCCTCGCCGTCCCCCTCGCTGGGGCAGGGACTGGGACTGTAGTGGCGGGGCTTCATCAGAAGCGATTTCCTCTTGTTGACTGGCGCCCCGCAGGCCCCTTCTGCGGCCGCCCGCTTTTTACCCGCTCCGAGATGCAAGCTGAAAGCAGAACACAAGGGTCATTAAATGGATGCGTCGTGTCACAAATCAACTGAGTACGTGATTGGTTGAGGTACAAAGATCTGCCCCGAAAGGTTTCGATTCTTTCCGAGGTCAAAGCTTTGTTTAGACACTTGGAAGTCTTGAAGGTTTTGCCAATATTGACTCTTACAACTAAAAACGGTTCTTTCAGCAAAGAAAAATCTTGTTATAAGGTTCTTGAGTAGCTATATGATGCTTTAAAGAGTAAAAAATGATGTTGCACATTCATAAAATGTGCAAAAAGATGCATTTACAGTTCAAAAAAGTTCAGGATCGGTATAATTTGTATTAATATTTTTATTATTTCTTAAAGTATTTATTTTATGCATTAAACTGATTAAAAGTGACAGTAAAAACTTAAAATGTTACAAAATTCTATTTCAAGTAGGTGCTGTTCTTTTGAACTTTCTATTCGTCTAAGAATTCCGAGAAAAAAAAATTTATCACGGTTTTCACAAAAATATTAAGCAGCACAACTGTTTTCAACACTGATAATAATTTAAAAAAACATTTTGAGCAGCAAATCAGCATATAAAAATGATTTCTGAAGGATCATGTGACTCTGAAGACTGGAGTAATGATGCTGAAAATTCAACTTTACCATCATATAATAAATTACATTTTAAAATATATCCAATTAGAAAACAGTTATTTTAATTTATAATAATCTTTAATAATATTACTGTTTTTACTGTATTTTTTTAAATAAATGAAAATAGACTTCTTTCAGACCCCAATTGAATTGGATTAACAATGGGGTTTCTTAATTCACATTTCTGGTCTTACTGTAAATGATTAGTTGGGACACATTATTCCAAAGACAAAAATATAATCACTAATAATTCAACCTCTGAACCGACTTTCCATTTTGGCCTTCTTATTTTTCAATCCCTCCCCTCCAACCCCTTTTCACCATCCAATCAATTCCCGATGGATCAAATCAAGCCTCTCCCTGCATTTTGTTTCACTGAGCATCCTGTTTCACACACACACAAAAAAAATGTCACGGAAGTAAAATGGGTGGCGAAATGCATTTTGTGCTCTTTGGGGCAGCGAGTTTGTTACAAAACTCATCAGAGCAGCATCTGAAATTCCCTGCAAGATGTGACTAAGAAAATCAGCATCGCAGATCCTCATGTGTGAACTTATGTGTGAACACAGAGTCCAAAACACTCAAGCATGAACTGGCTCATTATTTTCAATGAGAAATCTGTTGCTATTATCAGCTATCACACTGCATAATAAGTAATGATACAGAGAATAAAATGTTTGCTGTAGGCCGATAACATAAAAAAGGTTAGTGTAGCGTTTGACACAAAATGTACAAAGAAATGCACAAAACAACTTGCACTGCATTAAGATAAAGACAATAAATAAGATGCATGCAAAAAATTTACAGTGGCCCCAAAAAGTATTTGGACACTTAAGTCACATTTCATTTATGAAATCATAGACATAAAATATATAAAAAAATAAAATAAAAAAATAAATATAAACAAAAATGAAATAAAATGATATTTGATTATATTATATTATATACAGTTCAAAAGTTTAGGATCAGTGTCATTTTTTAATATGAGTTTTTATTTTTTAAATTATTTACGCATTAAATTGATCCAAAGTGACAGTAAAAACCTTTGTTACAAAATTCTATTTCAAATATGTGCTGTTCTTTTGAACTTTCTATTCATCAAAGAATTCTGAAAATAAAATGTTAATAAAATTAAAATAAAATCTTGTTTCCACAAAAATATTAAACAGCACACTTGAATATTAGCATATATAATAGCAAATCAGCATATTAGAATGATTTCTGAAGGATCATGTGACACTGACGACTGGAGTAATGATGCTGAAAATTCAGCTTTGATCACAGGAATAAATTACATTTTAAAATATATTCAAATAGAAAAGTTATTTTAAATTGTAATAATATTTTACAATATTACTGATTTCACTGTAGATTTTTAAACAAATTAAAATAGAAAAGCATTAAAAATCTTACAGACCCAAACACTTTTAGTGTAAATTTATATATTGTATACATGTATTATATAAAAATCATAAAGTATAAAACACCAAATCAAACAACTTTTATTTTAAAGAAAGATACACAAGTTCACTTTTCAAGCAAAATAGTTCACATGTGATTTAAAATCTGTTGCCAGATGTTAGTGGATCATGTTCTTAGTTAATGTGCTAAACTCACTGACTTCATTCAGCCACTAAAAATCACCAGAATAAAAGTCACTGAGCAAGAGAAAAGCTCTTGATTTGTGTGCAAACACAACTTTAATAGTTTGCATCCAATGCAATTCATTTATTTTTAAGTGCGACTTAAGTGTCCAAATACTGAAATATTACACGTAACTTTTGACAACTGCACGTATGCTGTAAAAGGCATCAGAAAAGCCATATACTGACACTCGGAAGCAGGTAGTGAACTCTGGCTTACCTGGGCGCCTCTGCGATGCAGTCAGGCAGAACTGCAAACAGAAAAAGAGAGAGAAAGAGTAAACACACGTGTTTACATTTCCACCAGCGAGACCGGCCCCTCCAGCACCTGCCTGTGATCCTTCACACACCTCTCGCTTTAATGTCACACTCAGACGGACACAATGACGAAGGCTCCTGGTGACTCGGTGAAAGACGCTTATGATGAGGATATAGCTCGTGTGGCATACAAAACATCAAAAATAAACCTCCTTTTTGTGCTCTGAAAGTATAGCTATGGATAGTAGCAAAAAAAGATGCAAATCCAAACAAAACACAGAGATGCAAATAAGGCTTCAGGTTTTTAAACCGCATGAGAGGATCTGGCCTTGTTCAGTATCAGCTGACTCGATTTAGCTAAGATTTCAAGTAGTGCTGATGGGTAAACAACAGCCCAGCAAACTCAATAAATCACACAGATGAGAGGTGCATGCAGTCATGCCGGTTTGGAACAACACAAAGGCAAGAAAATTATGACAAAATCTTCACTTTTGGAGTGAATTGTCCCTTTAAGGTCAAGCATTCTGGGTAATACCTCTTTTAGGAAGTAGTGCTGACTGTCAAACAGTCAATAGGCAACTAGTTCAGTCTTCATTATAAGATGAAAAAAAAAGACTTAAAATGTGCCATCATTATCTAAAGGAGATATTTTATTATATGACTTTTGTTGGTGCAACACAAAGTAATCAGATCGATTCAGTCTAATAAAATTTATTTTATATAATTTTCAATATATAATTTGTATATTATTGACTTGAATAAAACCATGTAATTTAAATGTTCCAACATGATGCACTTTTTTAGGTAAAATTTTTATGGACATGGTGAAAAACATATGAGATGGATTGACTTTGCATTTGCTCGCAAAACTTTTGCGTTCTCTCGCAAATCATTTGCATTCTCTCACACAACTATTGCATTCCGCCAAGAAACTTTGCGTTCTCTTGCACAACATTTGTGTTCTCTCATGAAACATTTCCATTTTCTCATGAAAAATGTTGTGTCCCCCCAAAAAACTTTGCATTCTGTCATAAAACATTTGCGATCTTTCGCGGAACATTTCTATTCTATCAACTTCATATTCTTTTGTAAAACATTTGTCTTCTCTAATGAAACATTTGCATTTTCTCACAAAATGTTTGCATTCCCCCAAGAAACTTTGCATTCTCTCAAAAAAACATTTTCACAAAACATGTCTTCTAGCCAAATTTTTACGTTCCCCAAAAAACTTTGCGTTCTCTCGCAAAACATTTGTGTTCTCTCATGAAAGGACATGTTTTCATTTGCGTTTTCTAGCCAAATTTTGCGTTCCACAAAAGCTTTGCATTGTCTCGCAAGACATTTGTATTCTCTCATGAAACATTTGCGTTTTCTCAAGAAAATTTTTTTCTTCCCCCAAGAAAAGTTGCATTCTCTCGAAAAACATTTGCGATCTTTTGCAAAATATTTGTGCTCTCTCACAAAACATTTGTTTTCTAGCCAAATTTTTTATTCCCCAAGAAACTTTGCATTCTTTCGCAAAACATTTGCAGTCTCGCAAATTTTTGCATTCCCCTTGAAACTTTTCATTCCCTCACAAAACATGTGCACTCTTTTCTAAAACATTTGTATTCTTTTGTAAAACATTTGCGATCTTTCTAAAACCATTTTTATTCTCTTAAAACATTTGCGATCTTTTGCAAAACATTTGCAATCTTTCCCAAAACATTTGTATTCTCTCGCAAAACATTTGCATTCTCTCGTAAAACATTTGCGATCTTTCGCAAAACATTTGTATTCTCTCATAAAATATTTGTGATATTTCGCAAAACATTTGCTCTCTCTCACAAAACATTTGTTTTCTAGCCAAATTTTGCATTCCCCAAGAAACTTTGTATTCTCTCAAAAAACATTTGCAATCTTTCTCAAAACATTTGCGCTCTCTCACAAGACATTTTTTTTTGCCAAATTGTGCATTCCTCAAGAAACTTTGCATTCTTTCGTAAAACATTTGTGATCTTTCGCAAAACATTTGCGCTCTCACAAAACATTTGTTTTCTAGCCAAATTTTGCATTCCCCACGAAACTTTGCATTTTCACGCAAAACATTTGCATTCTCTAACCAAGCTTTTGCATTTTCTCACAAAACTTTTTTTGGCAATTTTTCACAAAACATTTCTATTTATGAAATATTTGCGTTTCTAGCCAAATTTTTGCGTTCCCCCTAAAAAATGCATTCTCTTGCAAAACATTTCATGAAACATTTGCGTTTCCATAAGAAACTTTGTGTTCTTTTGCTAAGTGTTTGTGTTCTCTCACAAAAGAAAAATATTGAAAAAAAAAAGTGAAATACACTGCAAAAACATTGTATTCTCTCTCGAAATTTTAAAAAAGTGAAATACACTGCAAAAATATTGCATTCTCTCTCGAAATTTTTTTTTGTGTTTCGTTACAAAATTTCTGCATTCCCCCAAAAAACTTTGCATTCTCTCGCAGAAGATACAAAGGTTTCCTGAAAAGTTTTGCAAGCAAATGCAAAGTTTCTCAAGGGGAACGCAACATATTTACAAGAGAAAGCTAAAGTTTTGCAAGCGAACACAAAAGCATTGAAATACAATCTTTCCTCCCATCACCACGTTCCTTCAGTGGCTCTGTACATTTTCATAATCTCGCAGACTAAATAAAAGGTAAGGTAAAATGAATACTCTCTGACAGGAATGAATTGTTTTAGATTTCATAGAGCATGTTTAGGATGTGCAATACTTCCTCTTGGGGCAAAATTAGCAACCAATTACACAGTGTAAGACAATACACGTATCTGGATTTGCATAGGGAAAAAGCTGGTTCACTTTACTAAACAGTGTTTAACAATCACAGCTCTGACAACATGATATACTCAAAGCCTCGCTGTGAACCTAGCCTCACGAGATGTACAGACAGACAGAGAGAGAAGGAATGTGTGTCAGTGGGAGAGAATGTCTCATTCACAGCTTCACCTCAATCCCATGGTGAAGACTCAATAAAACACCATCATGAATTTTTACCGGCACATTAAAGGGCCAGGCGCTCATGAGAGGTACAGTACGCGGCTCTAAACACTTGAATAATGATGTCCCCTGTCATGCTTTAGTCGCTCTTTCCATTCACGACGCCCTGCTTAACTCGTTTGAAAGAATATTGCCACATAATGAAGTCACTGTCTCTGCATAATGCATCGCCGTGGCAACCGCACCTCTCTCCAGCTAAAGAGGATTAATATTAAAATTGACAGATCTGATGTGAGACTGTTAAACTAACACTTCAGATCAAATGTGCGTAGGAAAAGGGTGCATGCGCACACGTGAGGAAACCAGCCTGTCAGAAGGCCGTCGCTGAGGCATTATGGGAAATGTGTTCACCTTGTTTATGTGAACTTTGTACGGGGCAAATATAATGCATCCCTGCATGTTTATACAAACCAATAATGCACTCTAAAGAGTGGTATGAGATTATGTTTCATAACAAGTGCTTAAAATAAATACTATGTTGCAGAGTTATACAACTTTACAATGATATGAAAGACTTATTACGTCATTAAACTTCATATAATGCTAAACAGATCAGTAGTTAATGTTGATTAAAATAAGAATATAAAAATATGTAAATAAAATTTGACATTTCTAACTATTTGAATAAAGACTATTGAGTATGCATAAGTATATATACACATGTACAATGTACACATGTATATTCAATACAGATTTTTTGATAATTATACTGTATACTATGATAATAAGTATGAATTTACTTATTGGAACCTTAAATTCATTAAATTAAGTCATAATAAATAAAAAAATTTTACTTCACAAGATTTTAGTTATAAAACTACATATAACTAGATTTTAGATATAAAACTAGATATTATATTATAATAAAATAAATATATAATATAAATATGTAATATATTTTCTAATTAT